CGATAGCCCTGTACCCCCCTCAGCGGGTCACAACTGCAGTACTGATCATGCCACAAGCGGGCACTGCACCCACACTGTGGGCTCCCTGGCCTCTCCTCCAGCTGGGTGAGGGGCCGAGGACGCTGGGGGCAGGGCAGAGCGGTTTCTGGGGGGAGTGCATCGGCAGGGGCAGGGGAGATTCGCCCTGGCTCCCAGGGTGCCCCGTGCCAGGACAAGCAGGAACTCAGCCCCGCGGATGACGCACTGCGAGCAAACCCTGCAGCTACCTGGTGACCTGCAGCGAGGAAACACCCCCCCCCTGCTCTTTGCACCAGCCCCCCGTGTGCCGTTACCCTGCCCCCACCCCACAGGCGATAGGATAGACCCCCCCGACGCGTGCCCCTAGGAGAGGGCAGAGGGACCCCAGAGACCTACCACATGTCGGTGGCCGTGCTGATGGGCTCGTAGCTCAGGACCTCGGGAGCTGCAAAGGGAAACGTAGGGGAGTTACGGACCCTGCCGCTGGTGCCAGGCTGTGCCAGCGACTCCGCCCCCGGGCGAGGGGGGCGCCCAGGTCGGCAGCGGGAGTGGGGGGCGCTGGAGGGGGCAGCACTGCGCAGCGAGCTCAGCACAGGGCTGAACGGGCTCGGGGGGGTGGCGAGACCCATGCCCAGTCCCCGTCTCTGCTGGAGCGAGGTGCCAGGGCCCTTGGGCACATGGCTCAGAACCCAGGCGCTCGGGGCAGATTCACCCCTGTGGATTCACGACCAAAGTCTGCAGCCCAACAAGGATGTGTCGGCCCGTCCCTCCCCCACCCGTCCCCGGTCTCTGCTGCCCACCGCAGTGCCACTTACCCACGTACTCCGGCGTGCCCAGAATCTCGCGCACCTCCCGCATGGCGTCCACCCGGCGCGACAGCCCGAAGTCCACGATGCGGATGTCGCCCAGGGGGCTGCTGCTGGTCAGGAGGATGTTCTGGGGCTGCAGGGCAGGGGCAGGGTGTGAGCCGAGAGGGCCGGGACCCTGGTGCCGGGACACGGCAGGGCTGGCGCTCCGCTCCCCCTGGACGGACGGGGGGTGGGAGGGACCCCACCACCGTGGGGACGAGGGGGGGTTCCAGGAGCCCTGGGGGAACCAGCCCTTTCCAAGCTTGTGTCCACCCGTCCCGCCCTCCCAAGAGACTCTGCTCCCAGCGGGGGGAGGCCCCCAGTAACCGCCCGGCCCCACCGGTACCTTCAGGTCCAGGTGGACGACGTTGTGCTGGTGCAGGTAGGCGACGCCGCGCAGGATCTGCCGCACCAGCCGGATCACGTCCTGCTCGGTGAAGGCCTCGTCCTGCTCCGCCACGCACTGCTGGAAGATCTCTCCGCCGGCCGCGCTGAAGGGGGGGTGGCAGGTGAGGGGGGGGGACGGAGCCTTGCTGGCAAATGCCTCCCCCAGCTACCAGCACCTGCTAACAACCCCCCTCCCCCCCCCCACCCCAACCCCCCCCCCCCCCCCACCCCCCCCCCCCCCCCCCCCC